AAGCAAACTCGTACTGCGTATGGTATACACGAGTATGCACACAAAATTTCAGCTCCCTAGCTTTTGTATCCTCTGAGATCGACGCACTCATACAGACGGACGGACAGACGGACAGGGTTATATCGACTCAGCTCGTCGTGCTGCTCAAGAATATATGTACTTTATGGGGTCTGCGATGATTCTTTCTGCCCGTTACATACTTTTACACAAAACCATTATACCCTGATTTCTTATTTTTAATGGGTTTTATAAAAAATCTTCGAATTCATAAAATGTAAATTCACAATAGTAAATCTACACTGAAAGTCACGAAATCAATGTTCCGATTATTTTTAATGACAAAGAAATGGAATGAGCTATGAGAAAATATGATAAGCTCGTTTTGCTTATGGTATTCACGCGCATGCATGCAAAATTTTAAGGCAAAACGGACGGTCATGGTTATTTGAACTTGTCGCCCTGATCAAGAGTATATATACTTTATGAGGTCTGCCACGCCTCCTTTTGCCTGTTACAATAAAAAAGCCACCCCGATATTCCATTATCATTTTGTTCAGGATAATAAAATCAAGTAAGAACGTTTTGGTCGGGCGTTCCAACTGCCGATTACTCATTCACATCGCACCAGCAATTTAGTACCTAAGTTTAGCTCTAATACTGTAGAAAACTACTGTCATTTTTGGGTCATCGATAGAGGAGGTTACTAACTCAACTACCTAAATTTCAAGCTCTTAACCACAATTTGAAAAATCACTATATCTTCAGGTCCGATTTGCCCCACCCCCAGTAGACGTAGTCATATAATTTATTCATTAATCTTTATAGAATCATAATATTAGCTCATGAACAAAGTTTCAATGTTCTAGCTTTATGTTCTAAATTTCAAGTCACTAGCTTCATTTGCTCGGAAATAAATTTCGTTCATACGGACAGACGGGCGCACAAGACCAATATACTCAATTCACTTTCGTGAATGAGTTTATAATAAGAGTGTTCCGAATTTCGTCTACATGAAGTCTTGACTACAGAAATTTTACTTAGTTAGAATAGCGGTAAGGATGATAGCATTAAGAGATTTACTTACCAAGATAACAAAAGTATATGTTTAATGGCAATGATTCCAACGCAAACCAATAATTAGTAACGTTAAAAAATGGAGCTACCAAACTCATACCACATATAACTAAAGCATATCGCAATGCAGTACGACGGCATAAAGCTGGATCGATGACAGCCATCATACGATAACCGGCTCGTGAATAATCCGGACGTAGGTTCCAGGAAAGAGCATTGAAATGGGGAAACTGCCAAGCGTACAGAACTCCTGCAAGTATAATAGCGCCTGTGTCGAGAGTTCCTGTGCAACCTGACCATCCCATCAGTGGAGGGATTGCCCCAACGATTGAGCCTATCCATGTGTTAGCAATACTAATTCGCTTCATTGGAGTATAGATAGATGTGTAGAGAAAGAGATTTCCAGCACCCAATGCAGCTGTAAGCCCATTAACTCCAAAATATAATAAACATAATCCTGTTGTCGCTGACATTACTGCGAAACCGAGGGCATTAAGTGGGGTTATTTGACCCGTCACCAGGACACGGTTTTTTGTTCTCGACATTTGAGAATCAAATGGAACTTCATGATATTGATTAATTGCGTTCGCCGCTGCTGAGACCAAACCAGTTCCTAATGTGCACATAATAAATGAGGTTGCATCAAAGCTTGCAGGTGCCATAGCATATCCACCCATTGTTGTTATTACCACTAACGCTGTTAAAGAGAGCTAATCATAAATTTTTATCTACAAGTTTTTGGTCTACTTACATGTCAGACGAAACTTCGAAAGTTTCTTATATTTATTTGAAATGCTGCCCATATTTGGATATGGGCTTGGAACCCAAGCCGCTTTAAATTTATTTTTTTCTTGTTCATTACATATGCGAGAATGATTTAGCTGGTCAGATAATGGCACGTCTTTTATCATATGAAGCTTTGCATTGACTGATGATTTTACTGTGGTTGCTATGGTTGAAAACTAAAAATATATATTGTTAGGCAGATGCACATTGCATAACTAATGTATTTGTATCTTACCCGAATCAAGTTGTTTTCCATTGGCAGTATTTGCATTGATAAGCACTCGAACGTCCTTACATTCTTAAGTGTGCGAAAAATCCTGTACATGATGTGCTTGATTTACACTAAACGCAATTCCGAACCATGTTCAATTAAAATAGTTTTATTAAAAAATAGAGATAAGTAATGTAAAGGTACTTGAAAGTAGAGGTGTCACTATCGAAATTATCGAATTACGGACACCATCGATCTATCAATATATCGATGTCAAATAAGTCGATGGTTATCGATAGTGTTGTCAATATTTTTGGGTTTTACATCACTTAAATACTTTTTAGCGCTTTCTTTAATTTGAGGGTGAAAAGCTTAATAATAATAAAGATATTACTATATACATATGTTATACAAAAATTGATCGCTTCCTTCAAAAAGGCAATGCTCAAAACACACTGTTTAAGTATTAGAATGTGTTTTAGAAATATTTGTGTCTGATTTAAGGTAAGCGCAGCACTTGTAGATCTAGTATGAACTCTATAGCGTCCCATTTCAAAAGTACTTTCAAATCTTCATCTGGAATACGATTTTCAGATACCGAAGTTAATGTCAACATTTTCATAGATAACATTTTGGACATAATAGAGTTAAATTCAAAAATGGTGGGATTGGTATTTGTTGCTCCCCGACTTCTAATTAAATAAAATAAATTCTGTAATGGGTCTTGGTTCAATTTCAATGTGGCAACAAAGAAAAGATCATTGTTGTCACTCCAAATATATTCTGCCAAAGCAATTACCGATGAGTTTGTGTTAATCATCCCATCAATGCAATACACTTTGTGTGGATAATGCAGATTTTGGAAATAATCACACATTTCCTGAAGGTACTCGTGAACATTATTTTTCTCCCTAAGAGCACATCTATACGTATTGCTATCAAATAGCACATAACAATTCGGACTGACATGTTTTAAGCTTTATTTCGGACATAAACGAGTTAAATTTTTCGTCTCAGTTTCGTATAATTTTCTAATTGTACTCCATAAAACTGTGCCATCAGGTGTTAAAATATTATTCTTTAAAAGAATATTTCGAAGAGATTTCACTAGATGCGGTGCATCAAATATCGCAAAAATTTCTTCACCATTAACATTAAAGGTAGAATTATTTATATCAATACCCCATCTATTAAAAACTGCTCTATTATTGGATCCCTGATTGCAAACAACTGCTTTCACATTAAGCCCCAATGCTTGCAATAGTCCAATATTTTCTTCTACTTTTTGTTTAAGGTCAAGTATGGTTTATGCCACGAGCGGAAACCGTATAGCCACTGACCAGACAACACATAGACTAGACATGTAGAACACTGTTAAGTTGAGGTACCACTATACTTCGTATTTGCTCGGCTCGGTCGCTGG